GAATTGGTGCAAACAAATGAAAGTTTTGTTCAGGTGTCAAGGTCTTTGGAATCTTGTAAAAGATGGATTCGAAGCGCTTGGAGAAAACGCTTCAGAAGAAGAAAAGAAGAAACACACAGAAATTGAGAAGCTGAGTTATAAAGCACTCTTTATAATTCATCAATGTGTGAGTCCATAAAATTTTGAAAAAGTGAGTGATTAAGAATCTGCAAAAGAAGCTTGGGATGTAATTGAGAAGTCTTTTGGTGGTGCAGAAAAGGTGAAAGAAGCGAGGTTACAAACTCACAAGAGAACGTATAAATTTCTTTAAATGGAAGATAGTGGGAGCATATCTGATTTATTCACTATGGTTACAAAACTAGTGAATCAAATCAAGGTATCTGGAGAAACATTAACAATAAGAGTTGTTGTTTCGAAGATCTTAAGATCTTTGGCTCCTATGTTCGACCACGTGGTGGTTGATATAGAAGAGGGGAAAGAATTGTCAAAATTGACAAAGGAAGAGCTTCAAGGGACGCTTGAATCTCATGAACAAAGAATGACTGAAAGAGCTGCAGGAAAGTCGAAGAGTGATGTGGCTTTGCATGCACATTTAACAAAAGAAACCAAAGGCAAAGGAAATTGGTTCGACATAGGTAGAGGCAGCTACAACAAATCGACTGGTAGAGGAAACCAGAACGAAGGAAACATTTCAAATCAGAAAAGACCATACCAAGGCAACCAAAGAGGTGGTGCTGCAAATAGAGGATGAGGTGGTGGTCGAGAACATGACAAGAGTCACATTTAATATTACAATTGCCAGAAGTATGGTCACTATTCAAGTGATTGTCCAGAAAAACAAAAGAATCAAGAAAGTGATGCAAAGTTTGCAAAACATTAAGAAGAAGAGCTGATACTGATGGCCACAACAAGAGATGAAGATAGATTCAAGGACCAATGGTACTTGGATTCAGGGAGCTCATCATATATGTCTGGAAGGAAAGACTGGTTTGTCAACATAAAGCCCTCAATGAAAAATATGGTAAAATTCGCAAATGACAATACCCTAGTCGCTGAAGGTATTGGTGGTGTTATGATTATGAGGAAAGATGGCAAAAGGTCAGTAATTTCCAATGTGTTGTACATACCAGGCATGAAGAGCAATTTTCTCAGTATAGGGCAGTTGGTCGAAAAGAATTATAAAGTGTCGATCGAAGATAAGATAATGAGAGTCTCGATGCAAATGGAAGATTAATCTTGAAGGCTCAAATGTCTCAAAATAGAACCTTCAAGATCGAACTAAATGTGATGGAGCACAAGTGCCTTTCGACTGCAGCTAGCAGAGATGAATGGATATGGAATTATCGACTAGGCCATCTCAACTTCATAGACATCAGAGATTTTAAGAGAAGAAATATGGTTTCAGGATTGCCAGAAATCGACATTCCAAATGAGGTATGTGAGGAATGTCTGCAGGCGAAGTAGCACAAGAATAGCTTCAACAAGGATGCATGAAGTAGGTCGAATGCTATCTTGAAGTCATATACTCTGATGTATGTGGACCAATCTAGGTGGATTCGATGGGAGGTAACAAATACTTTGTTACATTCATAGATGATTTCAGTCGGAAGCTCTGGACTTACCTGATCAAGAAGAAAAGTGAAGTGATCAAGGTATTTGCCAAGTTTAAGTCTATGGTCGAAAGACAAAATGGTCGTAAACTCAAAGTTTTGAGAACTGATGGTGGTGGAGAGTATGTATCGAAAGACTTCGACAGGTTATGTGAAAAGGAAGAGATTATGCATGAGGTGGTGCCACCCTATACTCCACAGCATAATGGAAATGCAGAAAGGAAGAACTGAACCATCATGAAATGGTGAGAAGTATGTTGAAAGGCAAGAATTTGCCTAAAGAGTTTTATGGTGAAGCTGTTTCGACTGCAACATACATTTTGAACAGATGTCCTACGAAGAAGCTAGAGGGAATTACTCCAGAAGAAGTTAGTCTGGTGTGAAGCCTAGCTTGAGTCATCTGAAGGTATTTAGATCTATTGCACATAGACATGTGCCATATCAGTTAAGAATAAAACTTGATGACAAGTCGAGTCAAATGATTCTAGTTGGATATCATTCGACAGGAGGTTACTAGTTGTTCGACTCAGTGAATAAGCAGATTGTGATCAGCAGGGACGTGATTATAGATGAGCTTAAAGAATGGGATTGGAATGAAAATGTCAAGAAAGATTCAGTGGGAATCCTTCTTGAAGAACCAGAAACTCAAATCAAAAGAGAAGTTCGACAAGAGGAACCAACAGTTATAGATCAACCAAGTACAAGCAGGCCTCAAAGAACAAGATGCATGCCTGCAAGATTGCAAGATTATGTGATTACATCAGATGATGTGATAGATAATGAAGGTGAGTTGGTACGTTATGCTTTCTATGCAGGTGTCGAACCTGTCAATGCAGCTGAAGCATTGTAGGATTTGAAGTAGGTGAAAGAAATGAGCGAAGAAGTGAAGTTTATCGAAGACAACAACACTTGGTCACTTGTAGAATTTCCTCAAGGCAAGAAGGCAATTGGTGTCAAGTGGGTATACAAAGTGAAGATGAATCCCCAAGGGGAAGTAACTCGACACAGAGCAAGGCTTGTGGCGAAAGGATTTCTACAGAAAGAAGGAATAGACTTCAATGAAGTTTTTACACCTGTTGCTAAGATCGAAACAATCAGGTTGGTCGTTGGTCTAGCAGAAATAAACAGATGGTACATATGTCAGATGGACGTGAAGTGTGAGTTCTTGAATGGACCCTTAGATGAAGAAGTTTATGTTAAACAACCAGTTGGGTTTGTGAAACATGATGAAGAGAGAAATATGTATAGGCTGCATAAAGCCCTGTATGGATTGAAACAAGCTCCAAGAGCTTGGAATAAGAAAATTGATAGTTTCCTAAGGGAGAAGGAATTTGTGAAGTGCACAACTGAATATGGATTATATATAAGAAGAAGCAATAATGAATTTCTTATACTATGTCTCTATGTCGATGATTTTTTGATAGTAGGTAGCTGCAAAAGTAAGATCAAAGACTTCAAAGGTGATCTCAGCAAGGAATTCAAAAAGTCTGATTTGGGTGAGATTTAATATTTCCTTGGCATCGAATTCTACAAGAGCAGTAGAGGTTTTATGATGCATCAAAGAAGATATGCCAGAGAAATTCTCAAGATATTTGAGATGGAAGAATGCAACTCAACTTCGACACCTGCAGAACCAAGACTGCAACTATCGAAAGATGTAGATGAAGATGATGTCGGCCTAACCCAATACAGAAGACTTATTGGGTCATTGAGATACCTTTGTCATACAAGGCCTGACTTAGAACATAGTGTAGGTATAGTAAGTAGATTCATGCAGAAGCCAAAGGTATCACATCTAGCAGCGGTGAAGAGGATACTAAGGTATCTCAAAGGAACTCTCGACTATGGCATTTTATTTCCTACAACCGATAAAGGAAAATAATGCAAGTTAGTGGGATACACTGATTCGAGTTGGTGTAGTGATGCTGAAGATCGAAAATCAACAGTAGGATATATGTTTATGTTAGGTGGTGCACCATTTGCTTGGAGTTTAATAAAGGAACTAGTAGTGGCATTATCATCATGCGAAGTAGAATACATAGATGCTTCTCTTTGTGCATGTCAAGCAACTTGGATGGTGAACTTGGTCGAAGAGATATCAGGAAAAGATCATGGAGCAATTACCATGAAGATCGACAGCATGTCAGCTATCAATCTGGCGAAGAACCCGATAGCATATGGTCGAAGTAAGCACATCGAAATGAGGTTCTGCTATCTTCGAGAACAAGTAGCAGATGGGAAGATGAATTTAGAACACTGCAAAACTAAGAATCAAATTGCAGACATCATGACAAAGGGTGTGCAGGTCGAAGTATTTCGAAGACTAAGAGCCATGATGAATATAGATAGTTTAGACACAATGAATTAGGTGGTGTGTTAAATTATAATTCATAGTATCGAAACTATGTGTGTCGAAGGGTTTAGAGGTGGATCGAAGCAGGTTGTTTGAAGGAAGCCATTGCCCAGTCGAAGATCTTATGGATCGAAGCAACTGCACACAGATTAGATTTGTTTTAGATTTAGATAGATTTGATTCAAGTCTAAAATAGAATAGATTTGATTTAGTACCAAAATAAGTATTTTAGGCTTTTTATAGTTTTGGGCTTAGGGAGCAAGCTAAATATATAAATAGAGGGAGTAACTCCTAATTTTGTAATTAAGTCAATTAAGTTGTATTCACAGGATTTGCAGTTGCAAGTGAAGAACAAAGTTTTCCATAGTTTGTGGGCAGAGAGAAACTCTGTAGAAAATAATTGTCTTCTTTCTTTTATTTTCTTTTCTTTTCTCATAATTCATTGTCATTGTATGGTGATATCAATCTTGTTCATCAAGATTGGTAGAAATTCATAATAGATATTTTGGTGGATTTCCAACACCAACAACCAAGGCAACAAACTGAAATCTATGTAGTCAGTCTACCAACATATTAACAGAAAATGTAAAAGTATACCATTCAAGCATTGCCGATTTAACATAGGGTTTTGATCTCGCTTCATATAGACAAAATTAAAAAATAATCTTAATGGAAACACATGTTTGGAAGCAAATCCATTTTATAAAATGATTACAATAATGAAAAGCAGATAGACTCACTCACCAGCATTGTGACAGTTCATCACAATAAACTAAAATCCAGGTTGCAAATTTTTGAAATTAAAAACAGAAAAAACACAATTAACCTCAGTCTAAAACAAAATTCCAATAAAACACTTGGATTATGATACTCATCAAGTGCGTAAAAAAACTAAAATTTGAACCTTTTAACAACGAAGAGGGATCCTTCAACACCCCCGCGGCTCTGCAAATCAATGAAAGAGAAAGATGAGAGAAACTAAGTAGAGAGAGAAATTTTATAAAAAAAGGAGAATTGGCAAACCCATTTATATGAATCTAAACCATCAACTTCTCAAGCTTAGGAAACCTATCAGCAAGAGCATCTAATCCAATATCAGACAAACACAACAAATCAAATGGACTTTAAACACAAAGGACATGGAATATGATAATAGTGTGACCATTCAAACGCAAAGGAAACCTTATCCCTTCATTAACAATCATAACCTGCTACAAATCATCATTATTTTTCACTATCCCTAATTGATTTTAATTTTCCAAAAAATCAAATTCCAAACCTGATTGAGAATTTGAGCTTTTGCTTGTTTAAAATTAAGTTTCAGAATCTCCCAATCATCTTCCGTGTCTGGCTCTATCGAGACAGAAGAAGCGTGAGGGACGTTAGAGGTGAATTTAACTTGAACTGGAGAGTGAATCGGTAGTGAAAGGCATTTTGAAAATTGTTGAGAAAGTTGTATGGATGAAGGGGAAGAGGGAGTGGCTTTGGATCAGGCGACGAACTAGGAGTGAGGAGGGTGAGAAGAAGAACCATGATTGAAGAATTTGGATTAGAGGTAAATGGAGGGATGTGAAACAGGTTTATATGGTTCCCAACGCCTCAATAGAGAACTACATCCTCTTTGCAAGTACAATTGGATCGTTGTGATAATGGTATCTAGTGGTTGCTTGCTTCATCTTTATATGTTGAAGAGAAGATTATTATAACGGAAGTGTTGCTGCTGCATCCTATAAACGTCAAATTTAATGTGTCTTTTGAGTACCCAATGCATTAAGTAAACTAAAATTTGAAAATGATATTGAAAATTGGATTGTGGCTTTTCAGTTTATCATGGAAAACGTGTATTTGGTCTCATTTTAATGCTAAAATTAAAGTAAAACAAAAATAAAAATATGGAAAAACGTGAAAACCTAATAAATAATTAGTGGAATAATTAGTGGAATTAGTGGAATAAAAATAATCTAAAATCCAACAAAATTTCTAAGTGTGTCATATCAGCCGCATATAATGTCACATCGATATAAATTAAATAAGGTGCAATTCATCGATTTTAACCTTGAAATTAGAATAATTTATGTTTACAATCAGAAGGTTAATTATGGTTTTTCCAGGTACTTTGATTTTTATAAATTTACTAATAAGAAACTCGTGTTGTCGCACGAGTCCCGTCTGGATTCATATCACATGTCTATCAAACTATTATTTGTAAAGTTTGAATTCATTCTTCAATTGGTTAACACCGACCTAGTTACAAATATATGTAATAATATGCACCAACTTTTAAACATTGATTTGTACTTACAATAAATTGTACAGTCGATTCTCTAACTTTAATTGTATAAAACAACAGTAAGAGAAATATTTAAAAGATAGACATTAAACGTAAAATGTATGACAACTCCCGTCAAATGCTTAAAAGTTTCTACGTCTAATGTATACTATTGTAATAATTACAATTAATGAATATTATTTTTTACGTTTTTATAAAGAGACCAAACTTATTTTTGATGCGGGGATAAAACTTTATGTTATGTGTACTAATTAAATAAAATAATAATATATAATTGTAGAAATATAAAGAGAATGATAAATTTATTTTTTTCATAACAAATTTATGTATTTTTCTATCATAATTGTGTTATGTTCTTTTATCATTATAATTTTTTTAAGTATAAATGATAACGTTTTAATATAAAAAAAAAACACTAATATTTTATGATAAATTGAAAATTTTAAATATAATTTATTATATTTTAATAGTAATTTTAATTATAGTTAATATATTACTAAAATTTTAAAAAGAAAAACTTAAATAAATTTAATACTATATTAAAACTTAAATAATTTTATGCGAAATTAATTTAGTAGTTTATAATTATTTGAAATGTTAAATATAACCTTACAAATGACGATTTGTATTCTTAACCATACTAATAGTATAACATTATAATAGTAAAATTATAACTAAGTATGCATTAATTTTTAATATTAATGTTAATCTTAATTAACAGAAATCATAAGAATGTTGCAAAATTTTAATTGATAATTGTATTTTCCAAAAATCATTAATGATGAGCCATTTGATTTTCAAAAAACTAAAGTATTAATTGTATTTTGTTTTCGTCCTAAGGTCAATTCATCAATATTGTTTTAGAAAAAGAAAAAAAATAATAATTTTGATTCATACAATATTTAATCATCAATATATTAATTTTAGAAAAAGAAAAAAAAAACGAAGTTTTGACTCATACAACATTTAATATATTTTTAAACTATTTTAATATATGAGTTTTCAAAAGTTACATTGATAAGAGAATTAAACAAATTATAAACTGTTTAAATTGTAAAATATAATAATTAACCTAAATCTGAATAAAAATAAAACATTATAAAAAATTATAAAATTTCATCATCTATTTTAACATTTTATTTTATTTTCAATTTTAAATCTAACACATTAAATGACAATAATTAATATTAGCACAAATTTATTAATTTTAAAAAACATGTACAAAATAATTAATATATTATCATAAATTTAAAACTAAATATATATTTTTATATTTTGATCCTTATCTCACTTTCTCTTGTATATATTTGGTATTTTCATCTTATATAACAATCATAAATTGAAATTATAAGTGTATAATATAAACAGTACAATATAATATTAAAATATTTTAGTAAAAAAAATTAAAATATTTTAATAAAGTAAAATTTTAATGATTATTTAAAAAAGAACATCACAAATAAATCATGTAATAATTAGTAATAATGATGCATTCATTTAACTTTTTATAAAAAATTTGGTTGATGATAATTTTCTTATTATAATAGTAGATAATAGTAGATGACAGTAGAAACCAAAACATACGAATAAATCAGATTAAAACATATGTAAAACATCTCCAATATATTTAATTTTAACCTAAAAATTCATATACAACAAAACCCTAAAACATCTCCGATATATTTAATTTCAACCTAAAAATTCATATACAACAAAACCCTAAAACATCTCCAACATAGTTTAATATAGTATGAATATTCATGGTATATTGTGGTATCATATTTATTTAACCATTGATAAATAAATTTATTTGAATGGCATTCTTTAGCTTAACAATATTTTATTAATAAAATATTATATTTTTAATTAAATAAATTTTAATATTATTTTAATAAAAAATAAAAATCTAATATTTTTTTTTATAAGTAAAACTTATAGATTCAAAAAGACCTTAATATTTTCAACATAATTTCATTAATACTTTTAATGCACATGAAAAGCAAATTATTCAAAATAAAGGTATTGACATTTTATAATTGATTAATAAAAAAATATAAAATAAATTGTAGATTTTTACAGGAACATGTAACATTGGACAAAATTAAAGGAAATTGAAATTAAAAAATAATAGTAGAGTATTAATTGTTAAAAATTTGAGTGATGAGATCAAAAATTTGAGTATCTTATCATTAAACTTTAACTTAGAAGCTCTTTCAACTCTACAACCGCCTTTTATAATTGTCAATTGGAACATATTTGTTGGGACGATAAGAATAACAACACATTTTGATCTTACCTGATCAGACTTGGACCGTCACGACTGACTCCGAACAGAAGTTGAACGAGATGAGAGTACCTGCAAGGCACTCCGATGCTAAAGTGAGTGATAGCACGAGCAGGCGAAAATTGTGTATATGGGTAAGAGAATGAATACCTGACCCTCTAGGAATATAGGGTATTTATAGCCCCCAGCGCGGGGCCAAGGTCCCTTCATTGGGCCGACCAGGATTGGCCCAATAAAGGAACTGCCAGGTTCTACGTGTGTAGTGGGGACCCGCACGTGGTCCCCTCCCTAGTGATGCTCTGCGAGAAGTACGGAGGGACGAGGACGCGGTCTTTCCGGAATTCAGGTGATGGAGTAACAGTCGTAGTCTGCCCTACGAGGAGGGTGCTCGAGCTGGACTCGAGCTGGATTTCATGGGGACGACGATGTCGTGTTCGCGGGCAGCGGTGGGCACGGCTGTGGCTTCTGGTCGACGCGCTGGCGGGAATCTTCGGGCGCGCGCCTCTTTTAGAGTTGCTTGGATTGGGCCTTCGTTCTTGCTCTTGGGCCAGGACGGGCCCAGTCCAGAACAGGAGCCCCCCAAGTCGTGGCTCCTGGAGCAGGAGTTATGACTTGGTCTCAGTTCGTATTCGTCACGGGGCCTTACGCTCGGCCAGGATATTTGCTTCCCCGTGGTTGCTCGAGGAGTTTCTCCTGTGTTGCGTTCGTGAGATAATCCCTCTCGAGGCGTGCTCGGGGGACTTTTTACGGGCTGTCTCGTTGAGTATACGAGGCAACCCCTGGGAATCGTGACGCCACCCTAGTGAAAGTAGAGTCATCATTGCTTAGGGGAGTAGACGTCGAGGAGGGGAAGCTCGTGGTTCCCCCGGGGTGACATTTCGTATTCCACGTCATCCCTATAAATAGGATCATTGGGTCCCATAATCCATTTTTCCTCTTCGCGCTTCTCCTCCTCCCTCTGCCTTTGTCGCCGCTGTTTTTCCAGAATTTCATAGGACCACTGTGCTCTCCGCCGTCGATTTTCTTCCCTGCCACCGTACATCCTTCCTAATTTCCAAGTAAGCATTTTATCCCCCATGTTTTTCTCTGTGGTAGGTGATTTTTTCCGTTATTTGTATGTTAGAAAGTCTGCGTCTGGGATTAGCCCTGGTGCATTCGTATTCCTGCCCGGCATATTCATGTTTATGCCCGGTGAATGCATGTTTGTGCCCGATAAACGCATAGTTTGGCATGTGACTCGCAATGTTGACCAGGATCTTCATGGTTTTGGGCGCCTAACTCATGATATTGCCCGGTAAACCCATAGTTCTAGGTTTAGGATTCATGATATTGCTCGTCATATTCATTGTTTAGGTCGACGTACTCGTGACTGGCCGAAATGTTGGTCCATTTAGGCAGTATGTAGGACGACTCGTCGTGGCACCTTGGCGTCGGGGAGGTGAAACCAGACTCTTGTTTGAATCCTCAATGTTTTAATCGTGTGTGGAGTATGACTCGGCTTGTTGTGCCCTTCTTCCTGTCAGTTATGGCGAGCGTATGGATTTGCTCCCGAATTGACCGGTTTCCTGTGCTTTGCAGGTAAAATGGCTGATGAACCGTGTTCCTCGGGGCGCAACGAGGTGGAAGACCCAAGCGCTGAGGAAAATGTGACTCTGATCGATACCATTGATGACCCTTTGCTAGAGTGGGTGGGCGTCGAGCCCAGAGGGATTGCTTTTGCTTATATCCGGCGTAGTCGGAGCGCGTACACTATCGTCGAGCACGGCGGTAGTCAGCCGGGCTTCCAGAAAAATTTTGTCGTCACCAGACCGTCTCTTAACGTGTGGATCTGCTCGGAGTTCTCCGAGTATGGGTTTCCCATGTATGAGATCACGTTTAAGGACCTTGGCCTCAAGCTTCCCTTTAGTGATTTTCAGGTCGGGGTATTCAGTCACTTGGAGTTGGTCCCCTCGCAGCTTC